TGGGACTCTCACTGATGCTAGTGGTTAACTCAACTTATCGGTATTAGAAACATCACAAACGATATCCATCTCAGGGACACTTTCCCACATTCTTTTTGTTCATTTTGCTGTGAACAGTGAATTAAAAGGAGCCGACACTGTGTTGTTTGTCTTGTTACGGTACCTGTGCCCAACAAAAGCACCTGTGACCTTCTGACCTTGTAACCAAAATGGCGGATGGAGCGGTAACTACATAACTGCTCGTCTGACATTTGCCTTTTACAGAGAATGCAGGAAAACTGCATCAGATTGGACTAAATCTGGCCCAGCAGACTTAGGACATCACCAGGATACACTGGTGTGTTTCACAACAGCAGAACTACAGCAGAAAAACACATGGAGGAGAAAAAAAAGGTTGGTGAAACTCTTCTTCTCAAGTCCACAGTCAGCAAGAACAAACATGGCTATACTACTACTAGTACTAGCATGACTGCACCAAGTAGAAAAATGGACCGTGAACCAATAGAAGCCTGGAAGAATGATGATCACTTCAATATTGTCCAACTTTTGCAACAAATCAAATTTGAAAGCTTATAAAAACCCTTCCCCAGATTTCATTGACTGTGTTTATTGCCAACATCCAACACATTATTACAATGTATTAGTAAGACTAATCAAAAGTATTCGGAGCATGAATTTCAAAGTAGTTTTGACGATTCTGATGACTTCGTTGACGATTTGTACAGGAGCTGAGAAAAGCCGCCGGGCGAGGTGAGGAGGACAGAGTTAAATAACTCCTGGCCGAGGGAGTCAATGTCAATGCTGCTGAGGACAGCGTAAGTTATTACTTAACATTACATAACAAATTCATGAAAGGATTTTAAAACACTTAATAAAAGGTTCCATTTCAAGTCTGCATCTTTACAGATGAAATTGATCTTTACATCAGAACATGACATGTACATCTTTTTGTGCTACTGATTGTCTTACTTAAAGTTCATATTTATATTGTGAAGACTTGTTTATATCTAAGTGCATCTTCAACAATTTTCTTCATGTTATCCATGTTCTTATACTATACTGGAAGTTCCTGGAAGGTTGTGAAGGCACATTTAGTACATGTCTGAACCCTTGTCTTACAAGGAGCCCCTCTACTCTTGTCTCTGTACAGGCATGGACTGCTCTCCACGAAGCATCCGAGCACGGCCACACAGGAACTGTACAGGCTTTACTCACAGCTGGAGCAACAATCGACGCACGAGACTACTTGGTAACTTTGCTGTTTACATGAGATTCTGCCTCAGTTTGTATAATGTATAACCCACAAGATATGGTCCTCTCTTACAATTAACATTACAAAGCAAGACCAAGTCACACTGCCTATCACAATGCAAGGTAAGTGATTTTCTTTAGACATTTAGTTCTTTTACATCTAGAATAACCTGTAGTGTTCACGATACCCCATGTACAATGTATACTGTACCGACGCTGCAAGACCCGACGCTGCAAGAAGCGGCACGTCTAATCCATAGTGGAAAGTGGTACTTGCACAAGGAAGCCACCGACTGTGATCAAGCCCAGCTCGAGGCGCTTTCGAAAATCAAACATGAGCTGACGACAACGAGAGACCACGACCTCATCATGAGGAATACAAAATCGTAGTACCAAAAGAACTACAACAGCAGGTGATCAACATCGCACACGAGGATCACCAGGGCATTGTCAAGACGAAAGCCCTTCTCAGAGAGAAAGTCTGATTTCCAGGCATCGACACGAAAACAGAAGAAACGCTGAAAAGATGTCTCGCATGCCAAGCAGCAACGAAGACACCAGCAGCAGACCCACTGAAACCAACTACTATGCCAGACCAACCGTGGACAGAACTGTGTGCAGACTTCTGGGGTCCCCTTCCCAGCGGTGACTACCTCATAGTCATCATAGATGAACACACCAGGTATCCTGTAGTGGAACAACTAAGGTCAACATCTGCACAGTCAGTTATCCCGGTACTGGACAAATATCTGTCTATGTTCGGAATACCGAAGGTCCTAAAGACGGACAACGGTCCACCGTGGACGAGCACAGAAATGAAGTCGTTCGCAAGATACATGGGATTGCACCATCGGAAAATCACACCGTACTGGCCATGCGCCAACGGAACCGCAGAGCGATTCATGCGCGTCTTGGGGAAGACCGTGAGAACAGCGGTAATCGAGCAAAAGTCGTGGAAGCAAGAGGTGCACAAAATGCTGAGAAACTACCGTGCAACACCCCACTCGACAACAGGTTACCCGCCAGCAACACTGCTGTTTCAGAGAGACATGAAAACCAGGTTACCAGAGCTGACACTGGAACAACCAGAAGTCAACAAGGAAGCAAAACAGAATGATAAGAAAGCAAAGATGGAGATGAAGAAGTACACTGACAGAAAGAGAAGAGCGAAGGAAAACAGCATTGACATAGGAGACACCGTCCTAGTGTCACAGAGAAAACAGAACAAGCTCACACCTCCATATGACCCCAAACCACACCGAGTGATTGGAAAGAAAAACACCATGATCACTGCGGAAACGGCAGGAGGATAACAAGAAATGCTTCATTCTTCAAGAAGATCGACATAGAAGAGGAAGAAGCAGACGACAGCGAAGAAGAATACCTGGACGAAATGTTGAACAACGACAACGGAGACAACAATCAAGAAGGCAATGTTTTTAGCTGCTTACAGAGACGGACGTTTGTCCGACTCCCTGACCCGGGAACTGATCACAGACGACATGAGGGCAGCAGAAGGGGAGGATCTGTACGTACACGTCACGCTGCTGGGAGAGGACGGGGGATGTCAGGACGACAGCCTTTCGGACGAAGGTAAAGTTCATTTTCTGTAACATATCACTTCAATTTCCAAACAACACCGGTACCTTCCAAGAATAAAACGCCAATGCCAATCATACCTATCTAAATTCTAACCATCTACATATTCTTACCACAGATGAGCCAGAAGACCCTTCTGAACGAAGTCAAGTGGAGAGTTCTACATCCAGGTTTCCAGATGTCTTCATCAAACAGGAGCCTCTGTCTCCAGTTAAGGTGGAACCAACACAAGACCTTCCGTCATGCAGCTACGCAACAGAAACAGAGGACACCAAACCAACTTTAGAAGTGAAGCCCCAACAGCCACTTGGTCTTAAAACTGAACTTATAAACAGACGACCTCCGTTCGACTATCAGAAAGTGCGCCTTCGTGTAAAGGCAGAACCTCACTTCCATGTCAAAAGGGAAGGACAACAGCAACCCAGTCACGAGACACTACGTCAGCACAGGGTGACAAGAATGGGCCCCAGCGTCAAAACTGAAGAAGAGGATGAGCAGGAGAAAACAGAAGAGCATCACTTCATCAAAACAGACCCACGTCCCAGAGTTAAGGCAGAACAACACACTCACCATCAAATGAAAATAGAACATCAGAGACCGCGTCATATCACAGACACAGAACATCACACGGGCACAGAACATCACATGGGCACAGAACATCACATGGGCACAGAACATCACATGGACACAGGACATCACATGGACACAGAACATCAAATGGGCACAGAACAATACATGGTCACAGAACATCACATGGACACAGGACAACACATGGGCACAGAAGAAAACATGGACACAGACCAACACTTGGCCATACCACGTGAGGATTGAAAAGTGTTTTGCTATCATTTTCTTTAATGAAGGCACGGTCAGAAAGAAAGTCCAATTCTAGTTCATCCATAAAATCACTTCACACACACACAAACACACGTGTAGATATACGAAAATATTTACTTTATTTCTGTACAAAATACACAGATATAATCAAGAAAATACATACATTTCAATTCAATAAATCTTTGACTAAAATATAGTTATGTACAGTTTATATACAACACAAGTGATATATATTTACAGTCTCTTAAGAAATGTATTAAGCTTTGACAGATTCACAATCTAAAGTATCTTTGCCATAATCACGAATAACGCCATGTTTTACATTACCATTACACCCATTGCATGAAACTATTACTTGACTAAAATGTAGTTATGTACAGTTATACAACATAAGTGTTTAACAATATATATTTACAGTCTCTTAAGGAATGCAGTTGGCATTGAAGTATCTAAATTTGCCATAATCACGAATAACGCCATGTTTTACATTAACATCACATCCATTGCATGAAATTATTACTTAAGAACCCAGGTGGAAAAAGGTAAATATGTACAACTTGATAACCACAGACGGAAATGTCGGAAAACAACTCAACTAACTTAACTGTTAATGGTGATGATGAACATCTTAAACTTTTATACAGTTTATAGTTATACACTAAAAGATACTAACAAAAATACATGCTGTTACAGTAAGCTCTATGCACAATGTTTCAGGTCTAACAGAGCGGCACTTTTAGTACTTTGCTAACTTTGAAGTTACAAAAATACTAAGTTTTCAACTAACATTACACAAACGTTGTAATTACAAGATGCTTGTCACCAATGGACATGGATCTAACATTAACTTAGCCAAGAATAGAGAGTAGTAGGACCTAAAATATGGAAATACACTGAATTTAATTTGCACATCTGTATCTGCATAGCCGATATAACCGCCTTTCGGCGTAACACGCATGGAGCTAATATTCCCTTGTTGGATGGGAAGCAAAGGTTGGAGCGGGAACAACCTAAACATGAAAATACACGGCAGTTGAAATATCTACAATGTCGAATACCTTAAGAGGGTTTGACTGGTTGGTGTGAAAGTGCTTTTTATTCCTCTTGAGTGGACATTCATGACAGGAGGGGGGATCTACTAGCCTGGTTACCAAACTTATTAAATATTTGCGGAGAGGATGTAGGACTCGGGAGCTATAATAGGTTTGGTAACCAGGCTAGGAATCTACATCTTAAAGCCAGTCCTATAAACATCTGTTTTACAAGACTGACCAAATAAAACAGATGTTTCATCATGGGGATGGGCTTTTCGGGGGTACTCTTTAAAAATGAGGAGAAAGCCACCTTAGGGCGATGCTAGCTGTGTATTTTATGACCTGGTACCTTCATGACTAATCAAGACTGTCAGTTGTCCGACCTTCACCTTTATCAAACGTAACCAACTCCTCAACCTCCCCCACTGCTGTTCCTCCCTCCGTGCACCCTCCCCACCTGCCTGCACAGCCTCGCCCACATCAGCCAGGCTGCCGTCGTACAGGAGGATATCAGAGAAACACCCGTCACTGTAAGCCTTGCCCTTCATGGTTCTCACAAAATCTCGGACCCCTTCAGCACTGAACCTGTTATACTCCAGCCTGACTTTCTCCACAGCTGTGCTAACCTTCAGCCATGCAGCTATGGCGGGGAGGGACTCGTCACGGATGGAATTGTACTGAATATCTACCTGTGTCAGAATGGGAAGGTTGATAAAGGCGTTCATTAGCTCTCCAACATCAGCCAATTTGTTAAAGTGAAGGACCACCTTCTTCAGCTTCTGACATGAACCAAGACCTTCAGCAAGACCAGGCACTGCCACATCACTAATGTTATTGTGACCGAGATCTATCTCCTCCAAGTTCGGGAGGGGAGTTAAGAAGTCTCCCCTGTCAGACAACTTGTTCCCACTAAGGTTCACCTTCTTCAGATTCTGGCATGACCCAAGACCTTCAGTAAGACCAGGCACTGCCACATCACTAATGGCATTCCAACTGAGATCTATCTTCTCCAAGTTGGGGAGGGGAGGTAAGAAGTCTCCCCTGCCAGACAACTTGTTATGACTAAGGTTCACCTTCTTCAGATTCTGACATGAACCAAGACCTTCAGTAAGACCAGGCATTGCCACATCACTAATGGCATTCCAACTGAGACCTATCTCCTCCAAGTTGGGAAGGGGAGGTAAGAAGTCTCCCCTGTTATGCAACTTGTTATAACTAAGGTTCACCTTCTTCAGGTTCTGACATGAACCAAGACCTTCAGCAAGACCGGGCACTGTCTCATCACTAATGGCATTGTTACTGAGATCTATCTCCTTCAAGTTGGGAAGGGGAGGTAAGAAGTCTCCCCTGTCAGACAACTTGTTATAACTAAGGTTCACCTTCTTCAGGTTCTGACATGAACCAAGACTTTCAGCAAGACCAGGCACTGCCTCGTCACTAATGGCATGGTGACTGAGATCTATCTCCTCCAAGTTGGGGAGGGAAGGCAAGAAGTCTCCCCTGTCAGATAACTTGTTATAGCTAACTTTCATCTTTTTTAGTTTCTGACATGAAGCAAGAGCTGACCAGACATTTGGCCGAGTTTTACATTTTAGGGTGAAAGTTGAACACATTCCTGATAGGCGGCTTACATAGCCGTATTCATTGACTTGAACATGTTTCAGGTTGTGCATGCAGCTCAAGACAACCATGGCCTGTTTTGTGTCCTCGCTGTTGACTTCCTTGAACCAAATCACTATGTCCGTGACGTTTGGAGTGAATAACAGTGATTTCGACAAGTTACCGAGAGTACCCGCTGTGAATGTTTCTGACCTCACCGTAATTTTCATCAAGGGTTGACCAAACTGAAAGTATTTCTGAATTGTCTCAACGTTGATTTCACGGTCATTTTTTGCAAAGCAAATTTCTGCCATGAAATCATGGTTGCCAAGAGCCGCACTTGACAGGCACTCAAAAAGAGGCAGGTAGCTGAGATATCTGATTTGATTTGTATGGTTGGTAGAAGAAGAAAGATTTCGCCCAAATGGATAATAATTTAGCGCCTCTTTGATACTCATGTTTTCTGGAAGCCTTATTGTCTGAATAAGTGTTTTGTTCCTGATGAGTTGTGTCAAGCAGTGGAGGCCATGAAGGGAAATTTTAGGGAGAGCAGACAGGTCTAGAGTTTTATCCGGAAAGAGGGCCTGTGTCAAAGATGACAAAGCATCTAGCTGCCCTGATTCTGCAACTGTAGTTATGACAGACAGTAGGTGGTTGAAATCGTTAGATCCTCCCTGCCGTTCAATGAGTAATTGTACAAACTGCTGCAGATGTGTTTGGGATTTTGTCCTGCTCAGGAGGTGAGCAAGGCTGCAACAGGTGATGGGCAGGTGGTCTGACTTCTCAGCACAAACTCTCAGGGGTTCTGTACAGTCAGTTTGTTTTCTGACTGTGTGTGCTACCCAGAATGCAATTAGAGACTGTCGTATGCTGTCATGTACAAACTGGAAGGCATCTTTTGCGTCATTAGACTCAACCTCCTTTAACCAACCAATGCTTGTCTCTCGAATGTCAGATTGGAAGGCAATCTGTGATTGACCAGAATCAGCTGGTTGCAACAAACCAAAAGATGACTGTCGAATATCATGCCATTTCAATTGGCTTTTGTACACAAGCATGGACTGGTTATCTGAATGGCTTTCAAAAGCAGCCTTCCCCAAAGTAACAAAATGATTGGCATAAATTGACGTGAGCTTTTCATGGCTCTGGTCATGTTGGGAAGAGAATTGCTTAGCAGACATCTCAGTAACAAATTCTACAAAAGCTGCCAATGTAGCAGGAAAGCTTTTACGTTTTCTCCAGTATTCACACAAGTAAGAGTGGAAAAACCTGTCCCTGATGAGGTGCTTAACCAGTAAGTTACTTGGCCAGCTCTTCTGGATAGACCTTGCCGTGTCTTCATCAGTCTTAAAGAAGTCTTGGAGACAGTCATTCCAGGCCAAGGCGTCGTCACCAGTTGGATACGTTGGCAGATTGACGGTACTGATTTGTGATGCTGAAATAAACCAAACACTACGTTTTAAGCGACATAGATAATTTCTAAAGTTTGTAAAATGCTCTAATTTTACGTATGGATTTGATTGCACCAGATTTTTGCTCCTCTGTGAAGTAAAAAGAATAATTTAGAATTCAAACTGATTGAATACATGTAAAACGGTAGGTACAATTGCCTTGATTATGGAAAAATCTTACAATATTTACTTTTCACTTCAATCAATGTTTATTTGGTGCAAATCTAGTACAAATATTTAAGTCGCAAGTCATCAAACACTTACCATATGTTGTACCTGGACGAGGCTTGGCTTCACGTGCTGCACGGCAAGAGTCACCGTCTGTGGAAAGACTATTTATTTAGTTGATCATTTAATGAAAAACCGGATCACAGCTACAGGTACAAATCTGGGAAGATTGCAAGCAATTTATCTCAACTGTTTTGTTAATGCAAGGTATGTTAATGCAAGGAAAAAGCTTTACATGACTTCTCAGTAACCAACAACGAAATAGCAGAAAAATATTTTATCCTGCTATCTTACCATCATCTGTGTCTCCATCCGAACTTGACCCGTCACCTTTATCGCCTTGACCTTTCCCCTCTGACCCCCAAGACCCATCATCAACATCCTTCTGGAACAGTTCACCGGTCTCCACCGCATCTGGGAACAAAACAAGATTGTAATTTTCGAGAAGAGATGTCAGAGAACAAGCTGGTACCAGCTTCACAAGATCAGGTTAGTTTTCAGAAGTACTAGTACATTGTAGAGATGTAGCCTGCATATCAGCATCTTGCACTTTTCTTTCTCTTCCCTTTTTTTTTAATTTCTCTCCATTGCTATGGATGGAATTGTATGCAATATTATATATCTTATTTCTTCCAGCACAACGTCACTTTAATTGACAAATGCTTTATTTTCCTATACCGGTAATAATTGCCTACGTTTGAAGTTTTCATCACTTACAACACAAGTGTTTATAATGATATTTTTGCAATGTTTTCATTTCTAGCCACATCCATGCGATCAAGGGTAGTCAATAATCTCCGTTCAGACCTTACCTTAGACCTTAGATCCTCCCGCAACCTTGTTGCATAGGTCGACTTCTTGTCTGACTTTTTGTCTCCAAAGGTTTCGGTCTTGCGCCACTACTGCCATATCCATAAGTGAGTTAAGTCCAAGTTTTACCCCATCATTTTGTAGTGTTTTCCGCAAAGTGACTCTAGGCCGCCCTCTCGGGCGTGTGCCTTCTTGCTTCCATGTTAGGGCTGTTTTTGTGGTTCTGAGATCAGGGAGTCTCCACACATGTCCAGCAAAGCTCAATCTCCTTTTCATTACAGTCGCACTGAGAGATGGAACCTTGGCTCTTTGCATGAGCTCCTCATTTGATACGTGGTCACGCCAGGAGATGCCTAGTATAGTTCTGAGGCATCTACGCTGGAACGTGTCTAACATTTGCACTGTCTCTTTGGTGCTTCTCCAGGACTCACATGCATATATAGCAGTTGGTACCACAATGGACTGGAAAAGCTTCATCTTTAACGGAATGCTGATTTGCTTGGAGCGCCACATTTTTCTTAGACGCTGCCACATTCCGGTAGCTTTTCCTAACCGACTTTTAATATCCTCTTCTGTACCCCCACCCATATTAATAATACTACCTAGATATGTAAACTGTCCACATAATCAATTTGTTTGTTGTCAAGCAGAAGTGGTGAAGGGTTTACGATAGATGTCATTGCTTTTGTTTTGTCCCCGCTCACTCTGAGCCCAATTTTCTCCCCTGTGGTAGCAAGTCTATCTGTAAAGTTTTGGAGACCGACACAACTGTTAGCCAGTGCAGCTATGTCATCTGCAAAATCGAGGTCATTCAGTGTCCCTTCCCCAAAAGTTATTCCATCCCCGGTTTGTTTGACCTTCCTCAAAAGGAAATCAATGGCAATGACAAACAAGAGGGGAGAAAGAATACAACCCTGCTTAACCCCTGTAGCAATTTCAAACAAAGCTGTGACCCCTGTCTTTGTTTTGATACAACACTTGGAATTTTGGTACAAAGATTTGAATATGTTTATGTACTTCTCAGGTATGCCATATGTTCTTAAGATTTTCCATAGTGTGCCCTCTGTGC